CTAGTCTTTTTGTACGCAAATTCACTAAGAGTATTAAAGGGCAGTCTGATTTTTAAAGGAAGTAAGAAAATATCTCAAAATGTAAGTTCCAACCAACAATTATACCATATGCAGTGTTTGTATACACGTGAGCGTCTATTTCTTCAGCATTAGAGAATGACAGCAGACCATAAAAATAGTAGAAAATGATTCGTCATATACTAAAAGGTACTTTTCCCAATATATTCGAGCGTTCTATATACAGTTATTGAACATTATATTTCAGTGTATTTGAGGTCATTAGACTGTTTCACCCATCCAGAAGCCAGTATAGAAGTCTGTAGAAACCAACAGACAACTGATTTAATTAAGTTGAATATTAAGGCTAAAGATCAAGCTATGAAGTTTATTCCATACATGGAAGAGTATTGTAGGTAAGTTCATCGTCATTGTCATCATCATCAGCTTCATAGGTTCAAGACCATAGGATTGTCACTTATTATGTTCATCATGCACATCATTATCATCAACATCAGCGTCATTAACCCTAGAACTATATAGGACTGTTATCCACCGATGAATAATTTTCATCATCAACATCAGCGTCATTATCAATAGAACTTTACAGGACTGTTATCCACAGATGAATGATTTTCATCATCAACATCATTTCATTATCATCAACATCAGCGTCATTATCAATGGAACTATAGGACGGTTACCCTCAGATGAATAATTTTCATCATCAACATCATTATTATCACCAACAGTATCAGCATCCGCAGTCCGGAATCGATGTAACATAGGCTACTACATGACATATTCAAAAATGGGCAGGTGAGAAAAAGTAATCTCCAGGTTGTGCTACAAAACGTCGTTTTAAAGAATATTTGAGAGGCACAGTATATGGCCTAATAATATTTTACGCTGAGGAAATCTTCGTCAAATCATGAATATATCTTAAGATAACGTACTTTCGTTTGTTTATTTTAGGATTCGTATAGACCATGTCAGTTGTGATCTGAGAGGATGGGCTGCTGCTAAGCGTGATAGTTGTGCAAATGATACTGTGATGGGATTGAGAACTGAATTAGAGTGTAGTCTCTTGCCAGATTATTGTTTGGAGAATTATACTCGGGAAGTGAGTGTCATGTGTAGTGTAGATAAATTCAAGAGAGAGCAGAGAGATCCAAATAATATCCCAGAATCTGGTCATAGTCATGATCATGATGATAAAAATAGCGCCACTTCCGTTCGATTTTCTTTGTATTTTGTGCTTATATTTTTTTCCACCCGAGCTTTGTAAATTGTTTTGTACATATTTTGTAATAAATTGATTTTACTAACAAATGAATTCAGTGTTGTCATATAATATACGTATATTATTGGACAGAATATTGGTATCCCTGCTCTTTACCGATGTCAATAAAAATTCGTACAAGCAAGAAAATTCCGTTAATGACAATCTGGTCCAAAGTATGACAAAATCCACAGTAAATGTAGTATAGTAGTTGATACCTCCAAAGAGTAAGTATGGTCTGCTTCGCTCGCGACTAGTGTCGTTTCTATGAAACATCAGACTAGGTGGCCGAGCAGGGACCACAAAATTTTCCAGGGGTCTTTCTCTATGTAAAATTTGAAAGTTTGGGGGGGGGGGGGATCTATGGCTCTATCAGCCCCCTGACCCCTCAACTAAGGGGTTCGGGCCCGAAAACTCTCTTTTTTGACCCAACCCCAGAAAATGTAAAACAGAAATGTGTAAGCTGCAAAAAAACTAAGTTTAAATATGAGTTCATGTAGATAAACTATCCAACTATGATTTGAATGTTTACAATACAATACAATACAATACAATACAATACAATACAATACAATACAGTACAGTACAGTACAATACAATACAATACAATACAATACAATACAATACAATACAATACAATACAATACAATACAATACAATACAATTTTGCAACTTTGTTTAAATTCTTAATCGCATTTCTTCTTTGAATCCTCGCTTGCGCTCACTTTTG